GCAGAGTGACGTCATAGATGCGATTCAATATATCACGATGAGTATACAACACGTGATTCTGTTATAGTTGATTGTCTAGCTGAACAATGTGTGGGTGTGTGTTGTTGTTGGTGAGTGAGTGAGTTTAGTTTTACACCGCACTCAGCAATAGTCCAGCTATATGGCGGCGGTCTGTAAATAATCGAGTCTGGTCCAATCAAGTGATCAACAGCATGAGCATCGATCTGCGCAATTTGGAACCGATGCCATGTGTCAACCAAGTCAGCGAGCCTGACCACCCGATCCCGTTAGACGCCTCTTCCGACAAGCATGGGTTACTGAAGATCAATATTCTATCCCGGACCTTCACAGGTTTCGTGTTGGTGTGTATGTAGATGTTGGTGGTGTTGATGGGTCTAGGTGTCACCTTTAAAATATCCGGCATTTCTTTGAGGGATTAAAGCATTGATATTACAGCACGGTCGGGAGTCTTTGAAAAAAAATACGCCTTCCATTTAGAATCGCAGACAAAGAGGAACGGAATTCTTATGACCATCCGGGTCGATTCTGGGCATCGGGTTAATGTTTTTCGTTCGTACATGTGTGTGCTTGTTTCCCAGGTAGAGGGCGAATATAGGGTTTATATCCTGGCTGTATCCGGGTTTAGTGAGTATAATAAGCGTCACATTCTCACTCAAACGTGACTCACACACGGCCACCGCACAGAGCGGGTTTGTGTTGCATGCATTGTTGTGTGGATTGATGGTTCTACATTGTACAACCTGTCGCTGTGGATAGCCTGGTCTCGCCAGCGGATAACAGGTATTGTCGCTATGTCTACCCATACAACCTGTACATTGTGATTTTCCATCAAACACAAGAGTAGATATTCAAAGACTTCCGTCAATAGCTGTGTACTTACATTGATATAAATGCACAAATGTTCATCGCCTGATATTTATTCAAGTATCGGTTGTTGGGTAGCCTGGTGGTTAAAGCGTTCGCTCGTCACACCAAAGACCCGGGTTCGATGCCCCAAATGGATACAATGTGTGAAGGACATTTCTGGTGTTCCCTGCGGGGATATTGCTGGAATATTGCTAAAAGCGGTATAAAACAATACTATGTCATTATTCAAGTATCAAAAATATATTTTGCATTGAACAATATTTACCTTTATTGAAATCTGCAAGAAGATGCAAGGCGTGGAGTAACAGTGTTACGAATCGGTGCACTTCCAATATATAAAAATACCGGTAGATTTGATGGCACCAAAGACTTTGTAATATATGTAATGATAACTCTGTAGAAAATGACTTTCTTTTTCTATTTGAATGTAAAGTTTGTCATGATTTGCGCTCAAGTATTTTAAAGCATTACTATATTACTTTGATCAGCAATATTTTTTAACACATTATCATGTACCAATTTCTCAACAACAACAAATTGTTCTAATTACTTCCAGGTAGCATTGTCATTGTGTTCTTTATACATATCAATGTGTTTATTTTGTATTGTACGTGGGCCTAAGGATTTGTCACAAAACATACAAGATTGATTGATACTTACATTTCTAATTGTCGGATTTCTGGCATTGTGAATCCCATGTCTATTGCAAAGCCTACGGAGGCAAAATAATCTGTCATACAAAGCATTGCATTTTTCAGGAATTAGGCACAGTCAAAAATTACATCGTATGACTTAAGGGATGTAAGGAGAACTCACAGCTGATAACATCACTAGACATGAGAGAGAGAGAGAGAGAGAGAGAGAGAGAGGGGGGTAGGGAAGAGAGAGTCTTTATTTAACATGGAGTGTTAGCAACATCTCGTCGTCTTCAAACAGATCAAAACATACATACATACATACATACATACATACATACATACATACATACATACATACATACATACATACATACATACATACATACATACATACATACATACATACATACATACATACATACATACATACATACATACATACATATATACATATACATACATACATACATACATACATACACGGACACACATGCATACATACATACACACACACCTACATACATACATACATACACACATACATATATACATACCTTTTTTATCTTTCTTTTTCTGTCCATTTTTTTTTTTTTGTATTTTTTTATTTTTATACATATTTTTATTTTTGTACATGCATGCATTTTTTTGTGCATGCATGTTCCTGTCTGTGTCTGTCTGTGCTGTGTGCAGTGTGTGTGTGTCTGTGTCTGTCTGTGTCTGTCTGTGTCTGTGTGTGTGTCTGTGTGTCTGTCTGTCTGTCTGTGTCTGTGTCTGTGTCTGTGTTGTGTGTGTGTGTGTGTGTGTGTCTGTCTGTCTGTGTGCATGCATGTGTGTGTGTGTGTCTGTCTGTGTGTCTGTCTGTGTGTCTGTCTGTCTGTCTGTCTGTCTGTCTGTCTGTCTGTCTATGTCTATGGATCATTTTGTGTGCTGTGTGTGTGTCTGTGTCTGTCTGTCTGTGTGTGTGTGTCTTCCTGTGTCATATTATGCCATGCATTATGCATGCTGTCTATTTTTATTACATGTGTCTGTGTCCATGTGTGTGTGTGTGGGGTTTGGGGGTTGAACAGAATATCCTCCATTTTCTTTTTATGACGTAACATAGGTATGACCTTTGTGTGACCTAATCGATTGTTGAACCCCACCCTCCCCTTTCCGGCCCAGGTGTGTGTGTCACCTTCAGGTTCACCTTAGTGGTCTGTGATTATTATTCAATTATCTTATGAGTGGTATGAGTTTGCCGACTCGAGTGTTCACACAGCTTAGACTAATGCTTAGTCTCTGAATATATATAATTTTGATAGTAACCAACAAGTCCGTTTAAAATGAAAAGGATCCCTTAGGACCCCAGAGATTCAGAACCTGAGGAAATCTAGACTTGTTATATTTAGGGTTTTAGCACTGCAGAGAGGGCATGTGGCAGTAGGGAAAATAATGTGGTTCAGGGACAGTGAGGGTGTCGAAGCATACGTGTTCAACGTAGAATTAATATCACACAATGAGGGGGGAATTTAGCTGCGATTTATAAGGTCAAAATATCACAGCGCATTTTGTTAAATCACTGGCCAGTTTAAAATACGCTGTCACACAAGGAACAAGTATTTTACATATCTGTCAACAATAAACGGTTGTAGCTTTTAAATTTCATGTGGGCCTGTATATGCGTGAATGGGGCCCTGTCTATAGGCATTAATACATAACACTATGCTATTCTGCATAGCAGCATCGCTTGCTCACTGAGCCGTCACTGAAGAGACATGTGACAGCTGTGATTGGATGAAATAGTGTAAGGTGTTATGTTTGTTAAAAGCACCAGCATCCAGTCATTAAAACTGACCACCATTTTTAAATATTTATTGCTGTCATTTGTATCAATTATGCTTATGCGTGTACAAATTATGTTCAAGTAGGTGACAGTTGGTGCGGACCTGGGAGGGTTGATGTGTTTAGCTTCCTGTGTGTGGCTTCCTGTGCTCGCAAAGTTATCCGGTTCAAGTTGACCAGAAATTGTTTTATTGTAAGTTAAAGGTCAGACTGTAATCATGTGTACATGGTTGGTGATAATTTTCAGCGTGGTCACAAACGGTCAGCTTCCGCTGTTTAAAGGTCAGACTGTAATCATGAGTACATGGCATGGATAATTTTCGATGTGATGTTGAATGTATGCTGACAAGTGGTCAGCTTCCGTTATGTAAGGAGACAAGTGTCTGACCGGAATTAAGGACAGGAAATAGTAAGCAGTTGAGGACCGATGGTCACTGAATATCTCAAGTAGTTTGGTTGTTCAGTGATGAAATGATTTAGCATTTGTCATATATATTACTGAATAAGAAATATGTGTTCTCCTGTAAAACTTTCACTTTTACTCAACATTTTAAAACTTTTACTCTCAAATTGCAAACATAAAAAACACCCATCTTATGTCCATGTTGATGACACTTATTTGACATCATGTGACACATAGGTTACTCACATGCCGTTAGTAGTTAGATATACAGATTTCATTGTTTATTAGCTCCGTTTCAAATGAGTAGGCTTTAGGATAGGAGCTCTCCCAAATGTCTACTTTACATGTTGTGCTAATTGTATTATTGCCCTTCCTCAACATCCGGCCCTTCACTCTCTACATCAGATGTCATGTCTTCATAATTATCATCAATTAAGTCTTCTACCCAAGATATATATTGGTACAGTTTGGAAAACACGTCATGATACATATTATTTGTGTCTTTTACTCGTTTCAGTATTCCTTGTGTCTTTGGTCCATACTGCATATGGTACAGATAAGTAATAAATCGGGCATACGTCTCTTTAAACGTGTTCCAGATGAATTTCTTCAGTTTGGCTTGAATCATGTCTTCATTTAAACCTCTTTTCATGTACAGCTGTCGTTTCTCATCCAAAAAGTCTTTATTCAGCTCACGCGTCCGTGAATACATTTGTCTTATACCTTGCTCCTCGAGATCAACTATGTTAGTTTTCCTGTTGCCATGTGTGACATCGTTTAACGATTCATCATCCTCATCAGTTTCCATTTCAGGACATTGTTTATCATGTAAATGTCTTTGTAAGTTGTGGTTATTGCTAAACACTTGACCACAATAGTCACAATCTGACAGAGGACGTGGTCTCTTCACAGGAGAGAAGTTGTCGTCTTCCTCCCACTTCCTTTTCACTTGGGGTATTCCAGGTGGACCCACTGAAGACTTTTCGGGACACCAGTTTCTTCTGTGTTTTTGCAAATCATGCACGTCTTGAAACACGAGTCCACAGTCATCACAAGATGGCATTGTTGGGAGGTTTTCTTCACACGTCTGCTCACTCTGAACGTCTAACTCGGACTGAATTGTCCTAGCTTGGAGGCCTCCTTTTAAACTGAATACGTTGGGACAAAGTCGCAAATGGGGAGGTGTTTGGGGTTTTAGATCAACCAACAAGTATCCATAAGGTTTCTGGGTGGCCCTTTGAAATGGCTCCATGAAGTGGTCTGTGTTCCCTGGAAACATTTGCCTCGCCAAAGTCATGGTGGGTTGTTGGTCAATAGGGTTGTTGAACAGAAGCAGATAATGACAGTTTCTTCATTGTGTGGGATCCTTACTGTAATACAAATTCTGGTTCAAGGATATCACTGAGAGATTACGATGATGACTTCCTTCGGTAAAAAGATCTGTAATGCGTGGATCTTTGCTGGCAGTAGACATTAAGTCATCGAGGATAACCACGTTCACAACACTTGGGTCCAGAAATGCATCCTTTTCGAGATCAGAAGGAATGCCTTGATGAAATTCCACATAGGGATAAACATGGGTTTGAATGGCATTATACAAGGGCTGCCATTGTTTGTAGAGCCATATAATACGTTCAGGATAAGGTTTAATGTTCATCCTTTCTAGAAGCTGTTCCACTAAGTAGGTTTTCCCATAGGAGGTGGGCCCTGAGGCGATCATGGTGAATGGATGTTGCAGCCTTAATTCTTCCAATGACTGGGTAGTACTTTCTGATGAATGTGGTTGCACTGGTTGCTGCTGCTGCTGCTGCTGCTGCTGTAGTTGCTGATGCTGATGATGATGTTGCCAAGTTTGCAAGAGGAGGTCCATGAGGTGGTGGTGATGCTTGTGGATGTGGTGATGGTGGTTGAGGAGGAGGAGAGAGTTATTGATGTGGTTGTGGAGGAGAAGGAGGGAGTTGTTGATGTTTCTGTCTTCTATGTCTCAACATATTGTCTGTCCTGGAAAAAGTCTGGTAGCACACGGGACACGTTGTTGACTGCATTGTGGTCCGAGTCTAAATGGCAGGGAACCGTGTCTACTGACTGCTTTTATCTAAAAAGTCGTCTTCCGTTTCTTCATGGGAATCTGGGAGGAACTTCCAACTTTAGATCCCCCTTTCTTCTGCATCTGAATAAGAGCCTTGGCTTGTTCAACCACTTGTTGAGTAGGGGTAACAAAATTAATCTTAGGTTGTTCTGAGTTTTCTTTTGGTTTATCTTTCTTCCACTCTTGGTCATACAGTTCCAAATATCGATCGCCAGACATCATGGCAGATTTGTCTCCTCCACGCATTATAGAATGATAAGGATCTCCTTTTCCTTCAGCCCTGAGCATGTAAAATCGTGTCCATTTTTCGGCATCGGGTACGAAGAGTTTGTATTGTGGATTATTCATGATGAAAACGGGAGTGGCTTGAGGTGATGCGTCACTGTCACTGGTCCACGGCTAAATGAAGTTAGATAGCCCTTGTGGCCTGTTATATAGATATCTTCATTGACCTTGGGCTTGGTGTAGTTTTCAACATCGCTGCCAGGATGGTCATACATGCTCTTTCCCCGGATTGACAAACCTAAGACGGGTGTACCAGATGTACTAAGCCAATGCTCTATCAAACAACCAGGCATTTTGAATGGCCTCATCTCTAAGTGCATTGACAAACTGTGGTTTCAAAACAAATGCTACGATTGGCATGTTACTGGCAAAAAGACTCTTCCACATACTGTCTGTCGTCCAAAGGGGGTGAACTAATCTTCGTAACAAAGCTAGGTAGTTATTTTTCTATCATTTTTCCTCAGGAAACGACGCCTTTTATATCGAGTCACTGGTAACCTTCCCTTTAATAACCTATTAATAATACCATTGACGGCAAGAATCTGTTTGCTGTTCATTTCTAAGATGTCTTGTCGAATCTCCTCAATGTCTTGAAACATTAACATGAACCTTAAAAATTCGTAATGTTTCAAAACGTACCTAGCCATAATAATTCTAGCAAACAAGCTCTTATCGTGGTTGGGATATCAATGAGATTAGTATTTGAGTAAACCTCTATTTATACATCGACAAAAGACTATACATAGACAACCAATGCATATATATACTCTTAACATTGATTTATTTCTAATATTCACACATTTTACATTACACTCTTGGTTGCAAATCCACATGACTACCCCAGCGGGCCATATTTTTCTGAGGTACTCCCACCAGGGCCAAATACGGACAGTCTGGAGACCAGTTTTCATGTTCGACCCAGGGATCGTCTTCTACTACCCAGTTCTTGAGAACGAGACCACATTGAAAACACTTGCAAGTGTCCCCTCTGATTTAGTACACAAATCCTGCCTGGGCCATGCGACTAGGACTCTGTTTCATCTGCACTGGCCAGTCCTTAAACGAATCAAGTCTTTTCTGGAATGAAGCCCATTCAGTACTGATTGCACAGCAATCGAGTGTCTTGTCGATTGGGTAATGTCCACACACATCCATGATATCCCAGAGCAGTGGTAACACGTCCGCACAGTACAGTGTCTAAACCAAGAATGGCTTTACACCCAACGACTGTAGTCACTAGGGTTACAGAAGGAACACATTCTTGTCGTAAGAGGCGACTAACGGCATGTGAGTAACCTATGTGTCACATGATGTCAAATAAGTGTCATAAACATGGACATAAGATGGGTGTTTTTTATGTTTGCAATTTGAGAGTAAAAGTTTTAAAATGTTGAGTAAAAGTGAAAGTTTTACAGGAGAACACATATTTCTTATTCAGTAATATATATGACAAATGCTAAATCATTTCATCGCTGTACAACCAAACTACTTGAGATATTCGGTGACCATCGGTCCTCAACTGCTTACTATTTCCTGTCCTTAATTCCGGTCAGACACTTGTCTCCTTACATAACAGAAAGCTGACCACTTGTCAGCATACATTCAACATCACATTGAAAATTATCCATGCCATGTACTCATGATTACAGTCTGACCTTTAAACAGCGGAAAGCTGACCGTTTGTGACCACGCTGAAAATTATCACCAACCATGTACACATGATTACAGTCTGACCTTTAACCTACAATAAAACAATTTCTGGTCAACTTGAACCGGATAACTTTGCGAGCACAGGAAGTCACACACAGGAAGCTAAACACATCAACCCTCCCAGGTCCGCACCAACTGTCACCTACTTGAACATAATTTGTACACGCATAAGCATAATTGATACAAATGACAGCATTAAATACTTAAAAATGGTGGTCAGTTTTAATGACTGGATGCTGGTGCTTTTAACAAACATAACACCTTACACTATTTCATCCAATCACAGCTGTCACATGTCTCTTCAGTGACGGCTCAGTGAGCAAGCGATGCTGCTATGCAGAATAGCATAGTGTTATGTATTAATGCCTATAGACAGGGCCCCATTCACGCATATACAGGCCCACATGAAATTTAAAAGCTACAACCGTTTATTGTTGACAGATATGTAAAATACTTGTTCCTTGTGTGACAGCGTATTTTAAACTGGCCAGTGATTTAACAAAATGCGCTGTGATATTTTGACCTTATAAATCGCAGCTAAATTCCCCCCTCATTGTGTGATATTAATTCTACGTTGAACACGTATGCTTAGTCTGTCTCACTGTCCCTGAACCACATTATTTTCCCTACTGCCACATGCCCTCTCTGCAGTGCTAAAACCCTAAATAAAACAAGTCTAGATTTCCTCAGGTTCTGAATCTCTGGGGTCCTAAGGGATCCTTTTCAATTTAAATGGGCTTGTTGGTTACTATCAAAATTATATATATTCAGAGACTAAGCATTAGTCTAAGCTGTGTGAACACTCGAGTCGGCAAACTCATACCACTCATAAGATAATTGAATAATAATCACAGACCACTAAGGTGAACCTGAAGGTGACACACACACCTGGGCCGGAAAGGGGAGGGTGGGGTTCAACAATCGATTAGGTCACACAAAGGTCATACCTATGTTACGTCATAAAAAGAAAATGGAGGATATTCTGTTCAACCCCCCAAACCCCCAAACCCCCAACCCCTATACAAGGACAGTAAACATACTAGATTATCATAGCTCTTAATTTCAAACTAGTACGCTATCATAAAAATAAATCACTAGAGACAACAGTACAATATAAAAGCGGGCTATAGATCACTGAAGGTTGATCACAATACTTGGGACCATTTGGACTTACAGTAGAATTGCTACCTACATGGACTCTGGCTGGATTGACATCATCCCAGTTTTTTCAATGTCTAACCAAGCGTGTCCTATGTTCCAGGTACTCCTCTCTGTTGTTTTACTCCTCATCGTCATAGCACTGACGTCCGTGGTCGTACACCGCTCCGCCACGTAAGTACCTAGCGTACTAAATACATGACTGATGTGTTCATTGATGTGTAGCTTTCAAAGTCAACGATACGGCTGAAATACATTCACTATAATGAAATCTCGGAGAAGTACACTCTTAAAAAATTAAACGTTAAGGCCAACTTTGAAACAATTGTTACTGTCTTCAAGTAAATTGACAGATTTAGTTTAAGTTGATTGATACAAGGATGAAAATTAGCATGGTGATATTTAGGAGATAAACATCATGTATTCGCAGATTTCCGGGTGTTATTAAGTATTTGAAGCATGGGAATTCATTTGGAACCGACGGCGTTAGCCACTGCTGACGACGCAACAATACACTTGTGCGCGATATTTGTACGTATCAATACGCATCGAATAGTCTTGCAACAAAGTAACGTTTGGTTTACAATTCTGTTGTCATAACAACAATAATGATTGTCCCGTCACGAGACACGTACGTCCGACTTGGGGTCGTGTGACTCATTAGTTAGGTGAATCTACTTCATGGAAACATCTATCTTGAGTTGAATTAATCCAATCCTGAAACGAGATATATCGTTCAGGTGTAGTTAGAATGACGTACAATTGGGGGCAGGGATCTCCATCTACAAGACGTCCTGGTGAGGTGGGGCAGCCTATTGGGTACAGCGTTCGCTCGTCACGCTGAAGGCCCTGTGTTCGATTCCCCGCATGGGAACAATGTGTGAAGCTCATTTCTGGTGTCCCCTGCTGTGATATTGCTGAATTATTGCTAAGACAGCTGTAAAACCATAATCACTCACTCACTCAAGACGTCCTGTCGCGCTGTTGCGATAGGCAGTATTGAGTGACAAATGTATGAGAAATGTTCAGTGACGGTTTGACCTGTTGTAGTCATTGTCACCGCATGTGACTGTCACAACATGCACGTGCGTTCTGCTTCTAATTTCCTTTAAATGACATTTTCGTGCAGTCTTGTACAAACTTCTATAGAAAGCTATGCACGAGTAAAACGTTTGCGTTGTGAGTGAGTGAGTTTTAGTTTTACGCCGTTTATTAGCAATATTCCAGCAATATCATGGCGGGGACACCAGAAATTGGCTTTACACACTGTTCCCATGTGGGGAATCGAACCCGGGTCTTCGGCATGACGAGCGAACGCTTTAACCGCTAGGCTACCCCACCGCCCCCGTTTGCGTTATGAACTACACCAGTTAATCCGCATGTGTAATACTGCATCTGTATCTTAGTGTTTCATCCATACCGAAAATAACTCGTGTTTCTGCTATGAGCATTTGTGGAGCAAAGTACATTTTCTTAATACCTCATTTTGTGAGGCATTTGTCTGAGAAAACTAACATTGTGGGTGAAAAGGAGTTCAGATGGTTGACCTCATTTGATTAGCCTTTTGTGTCTGTTGTAGGGCCTGGAGTCATGCCTCAGTTTACATCCTTCGAAATCAAATACCCACTCCACATCGACACACAACCATAAGTGTTATATCCTCATAAGTGCTGTTTGTAGTCTGTCAGCAGTTAATGTCAAAATGGAGGCGGTGGGGTAGCCTAGTGGTTAAAGCATTAGCTCGTCACGACTAAAACCCGGGTTCGATTCCCCACATGGGTACAATGCGTGAAGCCCATTCCTGGGGACCTCGCCGTGATATTGCTTGAATATTGCTAAAAGCGGCGTAAAACCAAACTCACTCACTAATCTCAAAATTGTGATGAACCACAAGAGACGTCTTCCATATCGTAAATTGATTTTTGCTATTTTACTGGTACAATTTTCGCCCCTGTCTCAATACGGGTGAGTGAGTTGAGTTTACGCTGCACTCAGCAATATTCCAGCTATACGGCGGCGGTGTCTTAATACGGACTGATCCACAGTACCCTGTGCTGGGAGACCGCCTCCGTGGTGTAGTTGTTAGAGTGTCCGCCCGGAGAGCGGAAGGTCGCGGGTTCGATCCCCGACCCCGTCATACCAAAAGACGTTAAAATATGCTACTTGTTGGTCCCTGCCTGGCGCTCGGCATTAATGGGTACAACAAGGACTGATCGGCTCGGAGGCAGTATAATGTGTCTGAGTGGGGTATTCATGCTTCACTGCGGCATGGTATCTCAGGGGGCTAGCACTATAAAACCAGATTAAGTCTGGGCTAGTACAAGTAGCCGCACATACCCATACAGACGCATGCACGTCGTCATATGAGCGAAATATTCTCAAGCACGACGTAAAACCCAATTTCACCTCACCTCACCTATGCTGGGCGTATGAGATGTGTCGTCATACCTTAATGGCTTGGATAGTAGCTCACAATACGAGTTCCACGACTGTCTAGTCAAGACTCTTTTTGTATAGCTGTTACATAGCTGTATATTAAATATCAAAATAACCTGACGTTTTGATAACTTTGTATTTTTGGTAAAATCCGATTGTATAGGTTTTTTGTATATTCACAAGCCAGTCCGCTAAGATCCCATGTGATGAATCACTATATTATTTCCTCCTAGAACACAATTACGAGCAATCAAGGAACCAACTTTAAGAGAACGTTTCCCTGGCTACTTCCGGTATCCGGAGGAACAGACCGCTTTCGAGAAGCTTGATCGTCCATCAACCCAAGTGACGTCATTTCCTAATGTGACCCTGAGCAGTGTGTCCCAGCAGTGTTCTGCTCTTCTCCCCTCCCCTCCTGTGCCGATTAGCCCAGCGGAGGAAATAGAACACAACGCCTGTTGCACAACGTGAGCATATGAGACTTAATACTTGAATCCCAGTAAACTAAATTTTATGATATGATTGAGTATATAAATCAGAAACAATATTTTAATAATAAAAATAATTCATTTATATAGCGCCTCGTATCCATCTGACCAGTTGCTGTAATCAGAATCTGATTATTATTTCCCCGAATAACCCAAGCTCCCTGTGGGGACACTAGAAGGTTAATAGTCACATGACTCATCTCATCGGGTACCCATTTTCTGCTGGGTGAACAGAGGCAATTTTGAACAAACTTACTTGCCTAACGTGGGACCATATTTATCCTGTGTCGATCGTTGTTGGGCAGGACTGAAATCCTACAAACTCTCAGGAGTCAAGCTGCCAAACACGGTCACCCATCCAAAGACTCTCCGCGATCAACGTTGCTTATAGTCCGTTTGGCTCAAAAGCGGACTGATGAATTGCGATCTACTCGAAAACTGATAAACATATAATACTCAATGAAACGCTTATCATAATAAAAACATTAGACCAACTCTGTGAGTTTTAAGCAGAATTTATGTCCTAAAAATCAAAACGTTATTTAACAAAATATCATTAAAGTATTTACACAGTTCACTATTTGGTACGACGGAGGAATGCAGAGAGAGGCACAGCCAGGTGTGCGAGAAAGGATGGATACGGTACAGCTCAGGTAAATGAATCGATAGCTTTCTCGGCACTTGTGCACGTGCTTCGCGTACACCTGGCTGTTCCTGTCTTTGCACTCCTCCCTCGTAACAAATAGTGAACTGTGTCAAAATGTTAAAGACTTTTTTATTTTCAGGACATAAATTCTGCGTTTTACTGAGTATAATATGTTTATCAGTTTTCGAGTTAGATTGCAATTCATAGGTCCGCTTTTGAGCCAAACGGACTATAACTTCAACTGATTTGTGACCTGAGCTCTATGCACAGGACCACACACCTCCATATTTCGCTCAACTAACTCTAAAGTCAAACACGTGATATTTCATGGAAAATTGTTAAGAGATAGACGATTGAATAGAACACACATACACACTAAATGTGTAACGCTCAGTCGAAACATCGACGTACCGCATTCATGTGTAAGAATGACTGGATTTCTCAACACGACAAAGCCTTAAGATACAAACTGTACATTGTACCTTGGGTTGTATACGTGTAGGTATAAGTGCTTAAGTAGGAAAATCTATTACCGAACACGTTTATGTTTAGGATACTGAGTCAACGTTGGCCATCGAGAATCTCTACAAATTGCTGGAAGAATAATTCACCGTTCAATAGAGAAGTCGTGCTTGTTTCAGATTGATGGGACTGAAGATAGGGTGAATGTGGTTTGATAAATTGATATTGAAATCAGCGTCATTTTATTAAGGGAATCGAACCCGGTCCTGCATTCTGGCTAACGAACATTTTAAACACGAGGTTAAACTCCTCTGGTTGAAGGACGAATTGACTGACATCTCAGGATGCAACCTCAAATCTTGCGAATTCCATATGCCAGTGTCCCAACAGCAAAAGACATTGATCACAGTAGACAATTGTTATATCGTTTACCACTGTCAAAATTGTCAGAATACCAACCTTAGTTACTGACAATCATTGTCTGAAATCAAGTTTCAATTGGAACTATTTTGACCGTAGTTTCTGTCCGACTGCCAGATCATTAACCAAATACATTAATGTACACGTTCCAGGAAAACTTTCAACCTTTTCAATGGATTGTCTGGTCCAGACTCGGTGTGTTTACAAACAACATCGTACAGCTCTTATACTGCTGAAAAACATATACATACTCATGATATAGTCACAATTATACAATCGATTCCTGATTTTAGCAGAGATTTCTTATGGGTGTGGAAAGGGTTTTGTCGCTTCTATTTAGTACAATGGTTACTCCTATTTAGCGTGTTATTTCAATAATTACTAATATAGGGTTATACTTCGTAATCCGTTGTCAACCATCATACAACCCACACAATTGTTCAACTCACTTAAAACCATACAAGCAGACATTACTTACTTATTTACTTAATCCTCTTCGTGTTCTTGGCACATAAGGCCGTTACTAGAGTTTTCCAACGCTGTCTATCCTGGGCCCATTGCTGCACCTGTCAGGTCCACCCTGCGTCCTTTATCTCTGCCTCCACAGATCTTCGAATTCTCCATGTCTCCTTTGGACGTCCTCTGTTTCTTTTCCTGTTGCTGTCCATCGCATAGCAACCCTTGGTATGGAATCTGGGTGCATCCTGCAGACATCACCGCTTCAACGCCATTTTCTCTTGCAGATATTGCTTTCGTGTAATGGTTTGCGAATAATGTCGACTGATGCAAGGGGTTGTCGGCTGGAGACAGTATCATATCAGCAGAGGTTTTGTCAAGAAGTGTTGCCCGTCGTCAGTAGTTCAGTCTCCGTTGAGCTGAAACTCTCAGTCAAATGATGCCAGCTATCATCTACCACAGTAAAGCCGAGGTCCATACTGAAAATATTTTTGAATGAATTTGTGAAAGAGTATCACATACTATTTTGTGCCTTGAGAGTTTTTTGTTTTGTTTGGGGTTGTTGTTTTTAAATAGCCCAATGCTGCCTCTTACGCACATTATTATTTATCTCTAAATTCAAATATATTTTAATTCTATCTTGAAATTTGTTCCTACGATTTCCGTATATTCTCTCCTTATCTTAACACCTATATGTATCTTGCAGGAAGGCCTCCTACATCTCGCCCCAGTACTGGGTGGATATAGCCAATATTAACAGGACAATGGCTGTCTTTCAGGATGAAGTACGCGTAGAAGCGAAGCAGTTCTTCCGTACAGAATCATGCAAGTATGTACAATACAGTAAGAGAAGGGCCGAAATGTTCCTCTTGTCTGAATATCAGCACGCTTGAGTAAGTTAGCCCAGTGAACACGCTCTGATGGATTCAAGTTAATGCTTTCTGACGACAATATCCTGCAATATTTAACATCTATAAAGAGAAGTACAGACGATGTATTCAACACCCGTAAAGTACTGACGATGTATTCAACACCCGTGACGTAGTGACGATGTATTCAACACCCGTAAAGTACAGACGATGTATTTAACACGCGTAAAGAAATGGACGATGTATTCAACACCCGTAAAGTACAGACGATGTGTTCAACACCCGTGACGTACTGACGATGTGTTCAACTACCGTGATGTACGTATGGGATATTTAACACCCAAAAAGTACAGACGATGTATTCAAAACCCATGACGTAGTGACGATGTATTTAACACCCGTGAAGTACAGACGATGTATTCAACACCCGTAAAGTACAGACGATGTACAGACGATGTATTCAACACCCATGACGTAGTGACGATGGTTTAACACCCGTAAAGTACAGACGATGTATTCAACACCCGTGATGTACGGATGACGTATTCAACACCCATACAGTACAGACACAAAAACACCCGTGACGTAGTTACGATTTATTTATCACCCGTAGAGTAGGGACAATGTATTTAACACCCGTGATGTAGTGACGATGTATTCAACACCCATTAAGAAACAGACGATGTATTCAACACCCGTAAAGTACAGACGACGTGTTCAACACCTGTGACGTACAGACGATGTGTTCAACACCCGTGATATACTGAAGATTTAATTAAAACCCGTAAATAACGGACGATGTATTCAACACCCGTGAAGTACGGACGATATATTCCATGATGAATTCTGGGGTATTTGGAATCGTAGCGTGTACACAAGAGAAGTACTGGCGAAATATTTTACACCCTTGAAATATTGAGAATGTCTTTACAGGTGATTATTGTGGGATATTAGGAATCGTAGGGTTACACACCACTGTATGTCAGTGAGTGAGTATGGTTTTACCCGCTTTTAGCAATATTCCAGCAATATCACGGCAGGGGACACCAGAAATGGGCTTCACACATTGTACCCATGTGGGAATCGATCCTGGGCCTTCGGCGTGACGAGCAAACGGTTTAACCACTAGGCTACCCCACCGCCTCTCCACTGCAGGTCACACAATGGTAGCACGTGTAATGGAGGAAGGTATTAAACACCCTTTAAAAGCTCATGATCCCACTTACAGTTCATTAGTTCTGATGTCAACGCATGGACATAAGTAGTGCCAATAACATCTGATGTCCTCTAACTGTCATGTGATGCCTTCAACAAAACTAGGGGCGGTGGGGTAGCCTAGTGGTTAAAGCGTTCGCTCGTCACACCGAAGACCCGGGTTCGATTGCCCACATGGGTACAATGTGTGAAGCCCATTTTTGGCATCCCCGCCGTGATATTGCTGGAATATTGCTAAAAGCGGCGTAAAACAAAAACTCACTCACTCATTCTACAAAACTAAATCATGACCCATCCTGTTACAGACAAAAAGATGGATGCGACATCTGCGCGTGCTCAGTTAAAACAACTTACGTGACTGGAGTGTGGATGACCGGATCGGAATACGGGGTGTCCTGGTTTGCAATTGACGGGTGCTGCAAGTGTTTAAACACTTGACGTGGTGATGAACAGAACGATTGCCATGCTACTCATCATTATTCAGAATGTACCTGAAACATTTACCAGAAACACGTTTCATTTCATTACAATTTACGATTTGTTTTTATTTGTTTGATATCGTACACAGGAAAACGTGAAGGCAAAATCTGCAAGATTTTCTAATGGTTTCACAATGTATCCACCGTGAAAGGGGCATTATTTTCCCTCCATGAACAACCCTGTCTTAGTAATATTATGGTAAATATCCTCATAAGAAAAGTATAATACTTTATAGATAACAACTTATGGATACAACAATAGCTTTCGGTATAGCTTTCGTTATAGCTTTGAAGCTATACCGAAATGTCGCATCATAATAACATAAAGAAGTTATTATCCATTAAGTAATATACTTTTCTTATTATTCATCAACTTCTAAAATGCCAAATAAACAGGTAAATATCCTCGACCAATTACCGTCATACCTTAGACATTTAGAAAGTGACGTCACCAACGGAATCTGTCTCTTAGCACAGTATATCGATTGCTTCAGGGAATAGTATTATATGGGCGATGCTTTTGAATCAGGCTCAAAACAGAACGATTTTGGCTAAAGGGGCAAGGGTATTTATACACACAAAGAACTTAATTAAGCACCCCCTATAATTTTGCAATGACAGGTTTTCAACACTTCTATAAAACTTCTCGTGGTGACCACGATGGAAATACAATGCAGTTTTTCCGACCCGTATGATCCTTTGACTCATAAAAAACGACAAAATAATTGGATTTTATGATGATAATTGCTCATTTTTAAAATAAACAATGATTTTCATGCAAAAACATGTCTGTACAAGTAAGGTCCTGGGATGTTTAATGTTGAATTTATTGGTCAAGGGTATTAATAGTTATATCTGAAAAATAAAAATAATGCAAGGGGTTGCAATCTAACTCGAAAACTACTAAGCATATAATACTCAATGAAACACAGATCATAATCAAAACATCAGACCAACTCTGTGATATTTTGCAGAATGTATGTCCTAAAAATAGAAAAGCTGTTTAACAAGCTGTCATTAAAATATCTACACAGTTTACATAGAATAAAGAAGTTGTATATCCATAAAAATATTTCTGATTGTCCATAGAAATATCAATATTTTTACGATTTGGGTGTCATAGGTAACTTACAACTATGCCGAAGAGCATTGTCTTGATGAATTTATTAGAGAGATTCAATTTGGGTGAGATTCGATCAAGGAACTGTGAACAGTTGAACAAATAAATGACGTTACCTTAATATTTGTTTGTTCTTTGTGACGATCGTCTGACCACCAGATTCCGTTAGTTGCCTCTAATATGCATGGCATGCTGAAGACCAAACTCGTTAATCAAGATTCACTCACTCACTCACTCACTCACTCACTCACTCACTCACTCACTCACTCACTCACTCACTCACTCACTCACTCACTCACTCCACTCACTCACTCACTCACTCACTCACTCACTCCTCACTCACTCACTCACTCACTCACTCACTGAAACAAGGAAGGCATCTTGCAAACTGTGTAATGGGCCGTGGAACAATGTTGAGATTGGTTTACATTGTTTCCGTTCAGATCGAGTATAAGTTATTATGTGTCGATCTTCATCTTCAAAAGAGTTCAGTGTGAAACCAAAGTTTTTCTTTGTAGGCAACACACCAGCAATGCAGTTGTAACCCAGATTTTAATGTATCTTCACTGACGTTGCCAGAGCAATATGTTACAAGTTATCTGCTTCAGTTGCGTGTTGATTCTCAACCTGACACTAAATAGTTTACATAGGGCTGGTACTCTGTTAATAATGATGCAAACATAGTCAAAATGCATCTACACGAACAGCGGAATATGGGAATCTAAGAATTAATTTACATATCGGATAAGGCCATCCAAATCGCTATTACGTGTTTTCTCGTGTAGTATGTTGTCATCTTTTCTTATAAATTGTGAAACTACCAAAACGTATCCGCTCACACTGGGAAATTTTGTATTGGAATATTTTGGTTCATGGTGAACAAAACATAACGAAAATGTGGCGTTCGTATTCACAACAAATTCTCTCCAAGTGATCTGAGTAACATTGACCTAGTGTTAAGCATAGCGGAGTTATACCCCCTTATCTTTATACGTGTATGACCGCTCTGTCGTCGGTTGATGTCATTTTTAAGATTGAGCGTATAACGTTATGCATAAGCACACAATCCCATGTCATATATACTTATGTCGTTCAGATATCATACTGTATTTTCTTTGCTCACACTTTTCGTAAAGACGCCAAATTAAAACAATCGTAGCACAGTGCTTTTTCGGTGCAAGATAAATAAGCGGAGAAATTAACGCATAATACACTTTTGGAGAACATTTAGCAGTGTCTATTTCTCAAACCGCGGATGTATTTACACTTATATTTATACCAACGGATAGGAAATTTAATATTCTACATTTCTGAGTAATTTTAGAGCCGCACGCAGATCCAGGACCACGCGAGGGCAATTCTCGCACAACGTACACTTTTCAAACCTTATGAAAATGTGCGCCTGAAAAAACCCTCGGTATCCAGGGAATTTTGCGTGAAAGCAACAACAAAGAAATGTGCAAGAATTAACAATTGTATTCAACAATAAACTAAGTTTACAAATCAATACACATTAATACAAGGGTAGCACTGTGGCAGAAGAAAATAGAGTATCATTCAAGTTCAGAGGCTGCATGACACAAGACCAGTGATCAAGGCTACAAGGGCAATGGTGCTAATATGCACCTCTAAGTAACAGTAATCTAGTCTGCAACTATGGTTTGTTGTTCAGAAATACTCCTGCTATAAGGCAGAGGTCTGTAAATAATCGAGTCTGGACCAGACAATCCAGTGATGAACAGTAAGAGCATCGATCTACGTAGTTGGGACACGATGACAGGTGTCAACCAAGTCAGCGAAGCCTGACCACCTGATCCCGTTACTCGCCTCTTACGACATGTATGGGTTACTGAAGATCAATTCTAATCCGGATCTTCACGGGGACAACTTGCAACTCAGGTAAGCCAGGGTACATGATGATCACACACAATGTTGGGCTTCTGGGCTTCTGGTAACGCTGGAGGCAATAGCTTGCTCCCTCCTATATACAAAAATATGTTGCTAGATATTCCCATATCCGTCTGAACACAGCACACCACTGCCCATCACTGTCTCTACAGGTACACTGTACAATAGGTGCAACATTGTTGCACAAACGTAAAAACACTGCCTCATTACTACTGGCCGTCACTGTCTCTACAGGTACACTGTACAATAGGTGCAACATTGTTGCACAACGAAAAGCACTTTCCTATTTTCCAAGCCTCATAACTACTGGCTGTCACTGACTCTACAGGTACATTGTTGTACAATAGGTGCAACATTGTTGCACAACGTATAACTGCCTTCTATTGACCATATCTATCAAGGTCACCACGCCACTTTGACCACTTTTCAAACTCTCGTTAACGCGATATCTCATGAACTGTTGTACCCTGTCCCTAATGTCTTCAAATTTGACGACAGCCGACATTGGGGGATTACGCAGACACCAGCGATCTACGCAATTGGGATATGATGAATAGTCGCCTCTTACGACAGGCATGGGTTACTGAAGACCAGTTCTAACCCGGATCTTCACGGGGATGAGGACGAGCCTCCTATGTGATGAATGGCTCACTGTCAAGCAAACCTGAAGTAAACCTGAAAGATCTGTTAGTCCATGTGACCTGTCATCTGATAATTAACTTGTCTGTATCGTAAACTATAGATATATATATATATGTGTGTGTGTGTGTGTGTGTGTGAGAGAGTGTGTGTCTGTGTCTGTGTGTCTTGCTTGTTCTTTAAATATGGGCTTTTGGCCCGTGATCTCGATTGTGAATAGTAATGATGTAGCCCTTTCTTCAAATTGTAAACAGTGTTGTTAGTGTGTATAAACAAACTTGCTTTTGAGTGTGACTTTAATTATGGACGTATCTATGTATAAATTTGGTCTCCCTGCTATAGGGCTGAAATAATACCAATGCGACGTAAAGACGTAACTCACTCACACTCCCTCACTGCCTATTATCATTCTCAACATACCTGTGAGTGATATCGATATTCACTATCTAGCAGGGCAAGACTTGGGTGATGAGCATTGTCACTGTCTGTGGTAAACACGTAATGGTGACCTTGTGACGTAAACCACTGATGCGCACAATCCAGCGAAGCTGCACGTTTAGATAATGTTTGTCGGATATCAGCTTGCAAAATCCAAGAAGGACACAATAAGAGAAGGTATCTTTTATAGTCAGCTGGCCAAGACTAGCTGCATAGAATTCTCAATCTTAATGAGGGAAATCCCCAAACGCACGACTGTACCCGTTGTGTATGATGTGTTCCTTTACCAAGAATATTATTGTTATTACGTTGTAAAGACATGTCATACGTTAACTGACACTGCAGCTCTTTTAAGAGGCATGTGCAAGAAACCGTGAATAATGTTCCGACGTCAGTTTATCTCGGGAAGTCACGAACAATATTCACTATCGGGGTATCTGGGTGGAAGTCCCAGGGAGTATGCGAGTAGCTGAGTATTTTGTTAAGGTAGGAAAGGAATGTGGGGGGTAGGGAGGTAGTGGTATCTGTTTAGCGGAGTACCACGGTAGCATGATAGCGCAATAGTGGAGTAGCGGTACAGCAGTGTAGCCTTGTATCTTGGTAGCAATGTACCAGGGTGGCAGAGTACCCGACCAACAGGCCGAGAATCTTGAGTGAGTGAATGAGTGAAGATTTATAGTCACATCGGCAATATTTCAGCCATATCGTGACTTTAACAAATCACAAATTCATAATAAATGCAATCAAATCATAAAAGAACCTGTCGACGATGGACAGTAAAAAAATAGATTATCACAGACAAAGAATTAAAACTAGCATGTAAATGTAAAATTAAACAAATTTTATGAACAATGCCACATATAAAAACGGGCTAGAGATCACCAGCAACTGAAGGTTAGTCACCATGCTAGGGACCATTGGGACTTACAGTACATTTGATACCTGCATGGACCCTAGTTGGATTTACATCATCCCTTCAGCCACTGGCGATTGTAGGAAATTTAGCCTAATTTTCAAATAACAGAAATTCTACATTTAAAATGTGGTAAGAGCCGAGAATCTTGGTATTGGGTAGGAGAAGCACATGGAGCATGAGCACTGTACTGTAGAAGCAAGTGGGCTAGGGCGTATCTGGATAGTTAAGTGAGGAGGAGTGAGTGAGTTTAGTTTTACGCCGCACTCAGCAATAGCCCAGCTATATGGCGGCGGTCTGTAAATAATCGAGTCTGGACCAGACAATCCAGTGATCAACAGCATGCGTATCGATCTACGCAATTGGGAACCGATGATATGTGGCAACCAAGCCAGCGAGCCTGACCAGCCGATCCCGTTAGTCGCCTCTTAGGACAAGCATGGGTTACTGAAGGTTCATGGTAACCGGACCTTCACGGTAAGTACCATGCTGGGTAGTGTAGTGGTAAAAGAGCAGAGTAACTTGGTAACAGAGAGGCGGGGTGTCAGAGTAGTTTAATAAAAAAACCATTCAATTAATTCTATTTCTTTTTAAAATGTCATACCTAAGTTGGTGTTGTAATGGGTCCCAAACATGATATTGTTCAATTGAATACAGTCTTTCTCTCATTCACATCTGAAATTGGATTTGACTACAAACGTCATGGTAACATTACTGTGCTAGAAACATCCAACAAAACACAAATGTTTTTACCAGTAACAGATATATCTTCTACGAATAACAATTTTGCTTCATTTCAGCCACCTTGAAACAAAGGCGTATCATTTATTTTGCCCTGCATTTTGAA